ATCTTCTCAAATGTGTTACTACCTCACTGTAACACAGGTGATAACGGAAGTTAGTCCATCCAGAAATCCAACCAAAGTGCCCAGAAGACATTTGATGGTGTTTTTGCATTGAAAGATTGGTCCCGGCCCTGTTTGGCCCAGCCCAAGTCTTCCCCGGCTCTGCACAGCCTTTATTGTTCTTTGCATGTGGGCAGGATTTTCATATTAAAGACCCTCGAGGCTGAGGTGATATCTTTTTTTTATGACACCCAACAGTGGAAAGCATGGAGCTCATGCTATCGTTTCTCTCGTCAAAAACAAGTTACCATAGAAAGACCCAGAGAAAACTGTGCTGCTTGAAGAAACACTGTAGAAAGATACATGAGGAGGTTTTTTGTATGAGTAGTTTTTTTATGGGAGTGTTTTCTTTTTGTTGAACCGTGTTAAGTTCAGTCTTAACCTGCATCACTTTTGCTTGTGGAGCCAAGCTGAATTGAACTTTTGAAGTACAGTGGTTTTAACACCACCTGTGGACACTGGGGGGTAACAAGGGAAATTTGTTTTGTATTGTTTGTATTTATGCTCTATTTTTTGTTGTTCTATTTTTTTGTAAATAATATATTTGAAAACTTTATTCATTTTGTCTTTATTTAAAACAATTTTGTCAATTATTATTTAATTAAAGTTAAAAGGGTATATGTTTTTTATAATGTATGTCCTTGTGTGACAGGTTAATCAAAATAATTTTAACTTACAAAGTACAACAGTAAATCCCACACACACCAGCTTAAAACATCCCGTATGTCAGGAGGGAGACCTGGCTGGCACCCCAAATAAATTAATCATAAAAAATAGCAATAAAATAACAAAACCCCTGAACCGTCACATAAAATATTGGTAAGGTAAGGTTTATTTATATAGCACTTTTCAGCAGCAAAACAAACTGTGGGATGTGGGATGTCAAACTGCAAAACAATGTAAGAAAGTAAGCTAATGCTAGCTAATGTTAGCTTGTTTACAGACGTTCGATGTTGCGTGTACAACCAGGCTGGTTTAACAAACAATAGACGATGAATCGTGTCCACTAGCCCCGCTTGAATAGAAACCTGAGGTCTCAGGGGTTAGCTTTGCCTAATGCAAATACAGTAGAACCCGGGTTTGAACCCAGTCTCTGCTTGGAGTGTGCCTATAAACGAATGAGTTCCTATGATACACAAAACTACACAACAATGATTTTTTTGAAATAAACAGTAATACATTTTAACTTTGTTAAAAAGCAAGCCGCATTAAAAATGGTGTTCAAATTTAGTGCAAAGCTGCTGAAACAACTGTCAGCAACTGCAAAAGGAGAGAAGATGAGGGAAAGAGAGAATATGATGAGTGGAGAAGCGAGGGGAGGAAAGGAAAGGAGGTGCAGGGAGTGAGATGTGGGGCGTCAGGCTGCAGTGTGTCTAGACAGTATTCATGATCCATCTGTCTGCCACCGCCACGGCAACAGCCAGCGGCGGCAACAAGATGGCAAACTCCATTACCACAGAAACATTTTCTGTGTGCCTCACCCTTCTCTTCCTTGATTTCTCTCCTCATCCCCCTCTCATTCTGTCTATCAGCCTCCGTGCTGCTGTCTGCACCGTTTCATCCCTTTCTGTTTACCTTCTCCCTCAGAGTCTGTCTGCAGCTTTTCAAATCCCCATTCTTCTTCTTTTTTTTAGGAAATCACTCTCCTGTGTTCTCTTTCTCTTCACACTCATCCATCCTTCCCTCGCTCCCCCGCCTGTGTCTCTCAGGCATCACCAGAAAATGTGCAGCAGCTCAAAAAATTACCATCATTGCAGCTCCTTTCCCCCAGAACACCAGCCACCGATGTTTACATTAACATTCGGCCCAGACAGCCTAATACAGTCTTAGAAGGACCCAGTTCAGGGGTGTAAGTCTTTGAAAATGAGCTCCTCGCAACTGTTTACCCCCACCCCCTCCCTCGAACACACACACTTCAACCAAAAAGAAAAAAAAAAAAAGAACAAAAATTGAAAAACACTAAAAAAGAAGAGGAAACGTTTCTCCCTGCGCCTTTTGGAACAGTAGAAAGCTGGAAAGAGAGAGAGAGAGAATAAAAGAGATAAACTCAAAAACAACAAAGTTGGAGAGGTGAAAAGTATTTGAAGGAGGGAGATGAGAGGAGAAAGCAAGGAGCCTGCCGCCACACACACTAACAAACACTCTTTCTCTCCCCCTCTCTCTCTTCCTCTGTCTCTCCCTCTCTCCCAGGGCCAAGGATGAAAGTGCTGCTGTAAAAAAAAAAAAAAAGTTTTCCCTCTCCTCCTAAAAGTTGTTGAAAGAGAACGCTGCAGCACATCAAAGTGGTCTGGCAGACAGCCACCGGAGCCCACCGGTGTCCTTCACCCTCCTGTTCTCTCCCCCTCCCTCTCTCTCTCTGTCTCTCTCC